GAAAGAGTTTCAGAAAATGACAGCAGCCTTCTGTCTGACAGCATCACCAGCTCAGGGATGTCAGCTTGCTGCCGTTCCCTCTCATGCAATACAGGCAGCACCTCTTCGACTTGTAGAAAATGAGTATTGGCAGCCCTTCCATCAGCAGCAGCGTGGGGTCAGGTCTGGTATTTTAAGGCTGGCTCTTTTGTCTGTGCTTGTGAGGAAGCTAAGGTGGTGTTTGAGGAAGAGGTTTGATTGAATGGCTGCTTTCTAAAGCAACACAACCCTCTTCTGGCTGGACGCGCCTCCCTGCTGCAGTCTTCACACCTCCCGCTGCCCCTGTGCCCTGGCCTAAGCCAGGTGTGTTGCTGAACTGCCTGGGAGCACACGTTCTTCTGCCCTGGGTTCAGGATGAGACTGATCACATCTGTTAGCAGGTACCTACCCCCAGGCAAGTAGCTGTGAAAGGGGGTTTAAGACTGACGGATTTAAGACTGAGGTCTTGCCAGCATGTGCAGGAAATCCGTGGTTCTGGACTTGGCTCTGATTCCCCGCTTGCTGCATTTCAGAGACTTGCAGTCTGGAAGCCTGTAGGGTCTCGCGCCTGACGGTAGTACATAGCGGTGCCTGACCTGGGAAGCTTCTTGTGCCAATCCATGCATCGGCTGGCCCCGCTTTGCGGTGGGAACTCTGAGTGAATGTGGTGGTCTGCTGGGTCCCCAGACGGGTCCTCTGTTGGTATGGTTGTGTGGCCTGTTGTTTCCCAAAAAGTGGCTTGCAAAGATGCTGACTTCCACACAGCTAGTGGAATGGCACATGGCTGTTGTACGTAAAACAGCATCTTCAGTTAGCGGAGATGTGCAAAGGAGAAGGGAAAAAGAGAAACCACTCCTGGAGGCAAGCTTAAAGATTGGGCTGAGCTCTTCATCACCTAGAGTTTCTCCCCTGACTCCTGCCGATGTGCATACACACAGCAGTTTCCTGGAGTTTTCCTGCCTTACACAGCTGATGGACAGCTGTCAGTCAGAAAGATTTCTATCCTTCTTTGAAATTTATTTTAGTTACAGCATTAAAAATGAACTAAGTCTTCCAGACAAACATAAATCACCGAGACCTATACAGGAATCTACTATTAATTCATTGCAAGGAAAATCCCTTGCTGGAGGAGGGTCTTGCAGGGCAGGGCCTTGTGCTAGTGGGAGGTTGGTTTGCTGCTGCATCTTGCTTAAAAGCTTCATTACGTATTCGGAGAGGAGCAAAGCAATTCCAACTGGAGCTCCTGCTCCCTATCAAAGGCACTGCTAATTAGGCAGACTTGAGGCAGAACATTCTTTGGTGTTTTCTGACAACTTTGTCCAAGTTCAGCTTAGGGCAGAAGCTGTACTCGGTCAGTCTGGCAGGCATGCTTCACCCTTTCATCCTGAGGCACAGAGTGAGTAGATGGCCTGTGAATGCTGCCTGTAGCTCATGTTTAATGATCCAGTGGAATCACAGGTTACAGAAAACTTTCCTATATCCCAGCTGGTAAAGTGCTTGTTAAGCATCGACCTGACCTGTTATCTAGCTTACCAGCTGAAGGACTTGAAGCTGTAGCTGTGGCATCTTATCCCTCCTGGAACACTGCTACATCCATCCCCTCGCTTCAGTGCTCCTTCCCTGGTGGGGTTGCTGTACCTTTTGGCGAGTTCTGCAGCAGTGTCTCTGTTACAGGGACAAATGCTTCATTTCTCTGTACTGAATAATCCAGGGCTCTGTTGTATGTTTTGCATAATGACACTCAAACCCAGGCATGCTTGAGTACCTTTACTCTGCCTGGGGTTTCTGTGTCCCTCTCGCTGTAGAGTCCAGTTCCTCTAATTGCCACAAACAGCGTCATGCTCAGAACACTTTCTTCCTTTTTAACGGAGTTCCAGGTCAGAATAAATCTTCTCTTTGGTGAAACGCAAGTCCACTTGTGATGTTTCCTGGAGCAATTCAGAAATACTCAGAGGGAGAAATAGAAGCATGAATACTTTCTTAAATCCATGCTGCTGCAGCTCCTTGCAAATGCAGTGGCTTGGGTCTCATGCTTGCCCCTCTGTGGGTTTGTATTATTTGCCTGCCTCTGTGTGGTGCAGAGGCATCGAGCCAGGTTACTGGGGATTAGCACAGCTGAAAGTCCTCCTCAATGTCCCCTGAAGTGCAGGATGGATGGGCTGAGGACCACTGGCTTATTGGAGCTTTCTGTTCATTCTTGTTTGAAAGACCTGCCAGAAAAAAACCGATAAATTCTTATCCTTGTATTGCTGCAGTCCTTCATGATAAGAGAACTTGATCATGAGGAGTGGGGACAAATTCCCTAGAAGTGTCTGAATTCTAGCAGAGGGTCCTTGGTGATGGTTTTGTCCCAGAAAGATGAGCCCCTGAGCTTTTTTTTTATTATTATAGGTGGGCGAAAGGTGAAAGCTCACCTTTGATGTGTATCTCTGCTCAATACACAGGAGAAGTGGTCTCAGTAGTTGAGCGCACACAGGGAAGTGCTCCAGTGAAAACAAACAATGCTGAAATTAGGGCAGGAACACAGGACTCTGAGGTCAAACTCTGATTGCTACGAATAGCAGGGTTTAGCAATTCTGAAGCCATTAATTGGTAAGAATTGGCTGTGGAACTGGGGCCGTGTCACCAGGTAGAAGTGACTATAATTGGGCTTAAAATCAGCAGGAGTTGCCAGCTAAACTGACCTAATAAGCTGAAAGAGACTTGCAAATCAACTGAGAAGTATGCGCATAACAGTCAAACCTCCTGCCTTGGGAAGGCTCCAGATTTGGAGTAAACAGCAGCTTGCTCCTTCCCCTCCTGCTCTCCCTTATTACTGAGCAGATCTAAAATATACCTCCTGCTGACACTGTCCCTACCCACTGCGTAAAGCTGAACCACAGAGAACCGGCAATTTCACTTCTCCATTAGAATATGCAAATGACCATACCACCGAGATGTCCTGTGCTGCGAAGGAAGTTGTTAAATATCTGCTTTATGCTGAGCATTGCTGGAGCAAGCGGGAAGGCTTGAAGGATGACTTAATTAAGCATTCTCCTTGCTAAGCAGGGGAAGGAGAAAAGCTTTAATAAGGTTGTTGGATTGGTGGGGTTTTTTTGCGGGTTTTTTTTTGTTTTCCCTCCAGCTCTTTCCTCTTCTAGCATCTTTGTTGTTTTTCAGACAAGTTCTGAAGTTCATGCCTGTGGTTGTACCTGCAATACCTCTTTGGAAGATTGGTGGGCTCTAGTCTCTTCTAGAAACTGTCAGTGGAGAAATGACGTCCCCACCTCTGCCATGGCTTGCATGCAGGTCAGGGTCCCTGGTTTGAATGCACTAGGGCTGGTTTTGCCCAGACCGGGAGGTCTGGCCTGGGCTTAGCAGGGAAAAGATGATGTGAAATGGAAAGGGGGGAGGGGGAGATCCATGCAGTATCTCAGTGCCCTACTGTGCCTGTCCTCCAAGGCATCAGTGAAGTGATAGTTCCCAGCCTCATCAGAGGACTGCCTTGGGGCCCAGCCCAGGGCCATCCTCTCCAGGCTTGGCAAATGTCTAAAGCCTAGGCTTCCCCTCTGTGTGCCCAAACATCTCCAAAGCTCCCAGGTGAGGTAGGAGCGGTTCCTGGCTGTGTTTCTTCTCAAGCTCCCAACTGTCTGCCTGTGGCACCCAGCACACTTGCCCTGGAAAGGACAGGCTGAGCCTCCAGTGAATACCCCTGCATGGACCTTTATTTCTCAGACCTTTTGCCAGCAGCTGGAAGATAAAATACGCTGCTGTTACAAATCAGTAGAGAGTGAAAAAGATGCTGGGCTCTTGGTTTGTCATGCAGGTAGAGTTTAAAGAGAATGGTCTATGTGTGAGATGTGAATTTCTTCATGAAGAAGTTCTAGTTTTACAGAGTGTTGAGTTACTGGCCTTCACTTCCAGCAGCCAGGAGATGCATGGTTATTGTAAGGCTTTCTCCGAACTAGCGTTTTTAAATTATCCTTTCTCCACCCCTCATGTTTCAGTTGCAAGAAGCTGTATGAAGTGTAAGTAAAAATGTTTTCTTACCTTGGTGGGTAAAAAGGCAAATTGAATAAACTTGCACCCAAGCAGGTAGCGACCAGATGGATGTTGGATGGGAGCTCGCTGCGGGTGTCTGAGACTTGTGCCTGGGGCCAGGTTACAGCGTAGTTGTGCTGGAAGCCGAGGCACAAAAGTGCTGCTTTTGGTCCTTGTGGCATTATGGATGGTGGTAAGTGACTCTCCCCA